CAAATAGTTTTAATTTTAGATTGGCTGTTTAAGACCAAATGGACTCTCTATATTAATCGAGTCTCCGTAATAAACAGGTCTTTGTGCACGAACACTGCAGTGCAATTTAACAAAATGGCGTTGTTCTAAGAAATACAATTACCAAGCTTTTGTATCTAAAATGTAAGGCGGGGTTTAGATGACATGTTGACGTACGTTCGGCCAAGTTGGCCGCGAGCCAGGGTGCCAGTATGAGGGTTCTAGTTCGTTGGCCAGGTCAGGCAAGTGCTATTGAGGTTTCTTTATTCGGAACCTCTTCTCACACGCTTGGAGTTTTAAAAGAATAGCCGAGTTATATGAAGCTTAAATCTTCTTCATTCTCTATTATAACAAACTTGCTATTCTAGAAGCGTTACACACACAGTTATGACAAATCCCATAATCATGAAAGGATTTAGAAAAAAAGTTTAGTTGTCATTAATCCTTATTTGTGTTTGTAAGCGATAATGTCTCCATCGACTAACACAAAACCAAGATTTTCCGTAAGGCTTATGACTACTATTTACACAGATTATACTAGAATAATATACCTAATATGTATTAGAATTTACACAGAAAATGAGACACTAAAATAAATAAATGGCACAGCACAACATGAATAGGAGGGTCCACAACACAATTTTCGTTCAAAATACAGAACAAAAGCTGTATATTATCCTCTATCAAGCGCAGATGATACAATTAAGTTGAATGGCCGGAACAATCATAAACCACACACATAGATAATATCCTAACGACATGAAAGCCGATCACCGGCGTCACTGTCAGCCACCAAACGTGTTCTATTACAACGGTGTGCAACTGGCCCATAATTATAGTTGACGTCTCGTACTATTTGATTGCTACCTAACTCTCGCCCGCCGGCGGTATGTTCCTGACACAGCACGCCCATTGTTATTAACACAAATCGATTCCAGACGAAATTCGAGAGGCTATCCACCTATACTGGGAAAATGCCTACGTGATCTCATACTAAAAGCTTTATTAATATTAAATTATGTAACGAAAACTAGACTTTATTACTCGGTAATAAAGTATGGAATGGAATAGTAACTAGGCGATAAAGATGAAAAGTGGTAAACCGTGAAAGTGGCGAACCGGCGAGGTCGGATTACAGTTAAAACGCAGTTGTGGAGATGTTTTCCTGATTTTTGTTAGTCAATTTTAAAACCGTAATTGTCGGTAACAAGTTTATACGAATACAGAGATAGACATAGAGTGGTAGATACCATTATTTCGACATTTCGGTAGGATTATTCTTTTTTCTTTTCTAGGTTAATAGACGCATCAATTTTGTTCATATTTTATTGTTTGTGAGTATGATATTATCCTATGAATTAAGTGTTCAGATGTTTATAAAAACTATTTCCTTTTAATCGACTTAAAAAAGAAGAATCACAGTCACTATTACACAATCACAGAAAAAGAAGTTAAAACTTAAAAGGAACAGCCGGGATAATGTAATATCGAATGGTCCAGTGAGAAATCTTTGTTATTGAATTCTCGTAGTGCCCATTGTTCCACTTAACATTAAATTGCAATATTTGAATATAATTTAAGTTCTACTTTCACAGTATTGCATTTATTATTCAAGTTATCTTGAAATGGAATTTGTATATCAAATATTGTTTTTGTGACATTTCAATAACATGTTGTTTTATCCATATTTATAAGTACAGTTCAGTCAAATCCAATAGAATGTTTAGCTGTAAAAGCTTTTGTGTTGTTCAGAATGTATGGGACGTTTTTAATTTATTTACGCGCGAATGAATATTGCTGATCAAAACGTCCATAATAATCAGTGTACCAGCGCTCCAATCAGAATGCGCTGTCCATTCAATGAACATCGACTCGCATAGTTGTCTAAATAGCGCCGACAAATACTACGCATTCAATAATGTAACAACGCTTTACACTGAGAGCTTTTGTCAATGTTGTGAGAGAATTATAACCGGAGTACACTGGACCGTTCGTAATTATGTGCCCGTGTGGAACCGGCTTTATTGCTTCCTGCAGGTGACGTCGAATCAGGGTTCCGATCAAAGTGAGTGCTTTTAATAAACCCCACCGACGCAGAGCTGCTCCACAATGCCTATTTAACGTTGACCCCCTGCTGTCAACACCCACAAACAAAATTATTAATACAAACTAAATCGCTTCCGCGTTCCCCTAGAGATCATTTTCGAATGGTCGTTCGATGTATTGCAAGTTCTGTTTTAATGACTGTGTTATTATATTTTCGGTGTTTGTGTAAAAACTGATAGCCAGTAGTGAATTTTCCGCATGTTAAATCAACTGGATTCGTGTCTGCATAGTTTTAATGAGTGGCGCGGTGTAATTATTTTTGTTATGTGCTCTCATGTTTATTTTGATTCGCTCGTTTTGTGGAATGTTTGTTGTGAGGATTATACGTTGTGTTTATCGAATGTAGTCAGATTGACGAAATATTTTGTACATTTATATCAACGTATTTTGTAGTATGTGTTGATAGCTAATATCCGTAACTACAGCTATGTAGGATTTATTTATTAATATCATGGACTAATTAACTTGAACATTAAACTTCTTTTTGTAGCGCCCTCCATAGGATAGTAAATCACTTCTTATTGCATGAATTGTATTCCCATAGAACTTTTGTTAGCTAATAAGTAAACATTCCAAACATCTAATAATAAAACATTTCTCATTGGAAAGTTCTCATGGATTTGTATTCAAATAGCACCCCATAGAAACAGTGCGAAATGTTACAGATTCTAGTTCGATACAATGCAATAAAACCGGTGGCGACTAGCCCTTGAGGTATGGCGTCTATGGGACGGGAACAGGTGGACGCGCGGTGCGCGGGACTGTATTCGCAAATCCCCTACCATGAGATATCGTGGGGTGACTCGATTGCATTTGCATACGAAAAAGTCTTAATTTACTTTTGCCAATTAGTCACTAAACTCATTAAAAAAATTAGAATTTTTGTTTACATTTATTTTATTTTTCGATTTTTTTTTGTAATTAGCAATTCAACGGCACTATGTTAGCTTTCTAATTTTAATATTATATTTAATTTTAAAAAGATAACGCGACTATGTCTTTTATATATCTATTATAAAAAATAAGTGATAATAACATAATAAAATATAAGAAAAATATTAATAGAACCAACCAATAACTAAAAATAAGAATCTTAAGAGTGCATTTCATGAAAGACGCCCTTAAATCATGGTAGGGGTGCGGCGGCGAGTCCGCGACCACATCTGAATTATTAAATCCTTACAAAGACTGATGAATGGCCGATTTAATTCACTGGCGATTCGCACTCCGATCCGCGATGTATCGCCATTTACATAAGAATCCGGACAACCCTAATTCCCACGGTCTACTTACTTTGTTTTCGTACTAGAATTACTCACTAGGATTAATAATTCAACTTGGATTGCATAATAATATTCGTGTCTAGTTGTTGCTCTGGACTTTAACGGTTAATTACGCATCCCAACAGCTCAATATAGATACTCCGATGAACGAGTTTCAATAATATTAGCTGTTATTTTCCTCTATTGTAACAAGGAAAATGTTTTGATGAGCGGTTTGTTGAATAAAATATCTCGTAATTTGTTCCACGTAAGTACTAGGGGTTTTGATGCTGTCGAGTGGCTCTCAAAACATTTTAAGCAAAAAGTAAATAAGCACTGATGTTGTTTATTATTTTCTTTGTTTTTTGCTTACAGCGGGCCAGAATTAGATATTGAATTTAATTTGTTTGGAAAATTCTTCAGTCTCGTTATAAGTATAGCAAAGTAATAGAATTGTTTGCAATAAGCAAAACAGAACGTTAATGTTACAGAACTAAGCTCGGTACAACAAAACAATGCAATGCCTTCGACCAAGTTATAAATGGTTTACTCAAGACTTATAAGTGAGCATACACAGTGCAGCATATAGTGTGTGTGTGCTTAGATAAAGTGTGCGGTAGTTACTTAACGATACACAATCTACAACGTGGGCTGAATTGTTGTACAAGTCCTACATAGGATTTACTGCTGCGTCGGCTACGAAACTCTGTAGAAGTTTGCGGTCGGCTACGTAGCGTAGCCAGTATTGTTACTCGCTACGCCGTAGCATGTTTTGTTTTCGTCCAGATGTGTTATTGTTCGGCGGGTCGTTAGTTACGGCCAATGTTGGATGAAAATTATTTGAGTTAAGGTCCTTAGCATCATTCTTCGGAAATTGCTGTTTTTGTTCTAACGCTTTTGTAGTAAATTGCTCCAGTTTGTTCAGTCAAATTAAATGCAAGAAATCTCTTTACGCAGATGTTGCAACTATAATATATTTTCAACTAAATAAGAGGGCGATTTAAATAAAATGCTAATGAGCCACGAGTTGGTAATGAGAAAAAATTAACGCTTGAGATGTTTTGACGATGACGACGGCACTTAAAGAAACAAATTACAATCCTACTAATTAACAAAGAGAGTTCTTTAGTGTTGTTTAAGCTTCGTATTTTTCTCCTTTCTTCGACATAAATAGGTACAAAAAGTTTGTTATCGTAAAGAACAAGTCTTGGGCTTGGTACTGCTCGCTTTGCTAGTCTTTGCCGTATTTTTCTTGTAGTTCTTCCTTATCGCAAGCAAAGAATGCTTCAGGGTATTAATGCGACAAAGTACAGATTTTAATGCTCAACAGCCATACTCAATTTTCTGTAGCTACCTTTCTTTTTTTTCAGTTTAAAGATTATGGCTTCCCAAAGAGAGAACCAGTCTATAAGTCTAGAACTAGAACTAGTCTATGCTTGTGCATGAATTTATAAAAAAAAAAAAATTGTTCATTAGCGAAGTTTCAAGCTATGTGAAATAGTGAAACTAAAGTTACGTAAACTACATTATTTATCGATTGCGCCTATAGATTTTATTTGAAATTGATTCTTCGTAAAATGCATACTTCAGGTAAAAAAAACTTTGGTATCTTACCGTACAAGACTTGGGCTTGCTACTGTTCTTTGGTTTGGCCTTCGCGGGTGGTGTGGGGGGTGCGGGCGGGGTACAAGGCGGGCTTGTGTCACTGCTTGTGCTGTGTGACGTGCTCGACTTCTCTGAACCATTGCTTGACTAGAAATTAATTGGTAGATTAGTATGTGAAAAGAAACATATTATAAATTTAAATTAATAAGTGGATTTATGAGTCAACAAGAAATTGTATTGCACTATTCTATGATAAAAAAGCATGTTATATATAAGATATGTAGGTTTACATTGTCACATAAAAGTTGTTAGGGGATTATGTACTTTGAATACAGAAGATTTATATAATAATATATATATTTTTTATAAAAATGATGTTGTTTTAGTATTATAATAGGGTTACATTTATCAATTTAAAAGTGTTCCCACTCACTTTAAAGTGCGTAAGAACACTTATAAATTGATAAAGTAGTGCTTTTATTTTCTACTTTGTATCTAGTTACTCGAATGCAATTCATGCAATTTATTGCATTGCACAAGTTTCAATGTTGAAGGCCCGCGTTAATGTAATACTGTTATTGTTGTTCTAAATGCAATTGTTTGTCACAGTTAGTTACTGGTTCATTCCGGTGCTCAAATTGTAGTTGTTTTAGTACCTACCTAAACGAATTAATCGAGATACAACTTCTTAGAACAAAAGACATTCTATGTCAAAATATTGTTGTGATTGTGTTCAAGTTTTACAACTGTCGCTACCATTAAACGAAGCCGAAATCCTCGTATATTTTGACGTATTTCTTCAAAAGGTTGTAGCAAAAACGTCCCCATAGTCAACATGTCAACATATAATCAACATTAACAAACAGAATCATCACATTGAACCCTTACATTTCCGCATGATTTCTCTGAACACGAGTATAGATAAACACCCGCCATATTGGCGGACATTTTGTCGAAACCTTTAATGGCGGGAAATTAAAAGAGCACACACAACGCGGATTTCGGGCTAATTGCTTAATTAATAAGGGCGGTGGTTGAGTTTTACATGGATGGCCAGTTGGAAACTCGCCAGACATGCCTAAGTATAAAAAGCTAGATTAATGAGGGACTAAAAGTAGCGTATGAACTAACTGATGGGAAAATTTGCGGATTTATGTTCGGTGAGATTTTGCGGCGTGTTAAATTCTAGTAATTAGTGCTTATTAATTTGTGAATTATTGCCGGTTTAGCTCTAACTTTTGAAAGAGATGATTTGTTAGAACGTTGAAAACTTCGTTGTTATATTGCAATTGCGCGGACTAACTGTTCTTAGCTAGAATTATGGCTGTTAACTCAAGTCAATAGTTTGATAACATCTAGACTATTTGGTATAGATTATAACTACTTTAGTTGCCAGCAATTGGTTTCATTTTTGTAAAGCAACAAAGTTTATTGCGATATAGAAGTAGAAGATATAACCAAACATAAGTTTAAGTCAAATGTAGGTTTTATTACATTTTACAAGTGTAGAGGTGATATTTATGTTGCCGTTCTCGAGAGCAATTTTTCTTCAAATAATGTGCCATTTTGTTGTTGTCGTTGTTATTATACGCACATTTTATAAAAGTCGGTCTCCCCTAAAATATATTATATGTCGAAAATATTAAATCTATCATGTTATAGCCATTGTCGAACGAAGGGTGTGAGTTTCGTGTGTAGAGGGGAGTTCTCTTGTCAGTGTTGTATCGTCTTGCAAGTCACTTTTTATTATGATACAGAATATTTGTGTTTTCTTTACATAAAAAAAATCTTTTTATACTATCGATTGTAGAGTCCATCGGAGGATCGATTATTATATTGTAATATATAAATAACAAAAATGGTGACCATCTCTACCTCATATAATACTCAAATAACGATTAAGACCACCATCATAGTCCTTAGATCTCATACACACCACACGCAACTTATTATAAACTTCCAAAATTAAAACCAACTTTATGATATTAATCTTCTTCGAGTATAATAGAGTAGTTTTCGAATAGTCAAATTCAATACTATTAAGTATCGAAAGGACAAAGGTGAGACGTTACAACATTTTGACGTCAAATAGCATACGTATTTTTCTTGAATTACTTAACAATAAAAAATACGAATATTAAGTACATCGTTAAATTAATCAATGGTAAAAAAAGGTATGATTCTTTTATCAGTTTTTTTACGAAGAATTAATTTCTTTTTATCTTATTTATGTGTACTTACATCTGAATGCGGAGGTTGTACTCGCGGCGGTGAGATGGGAGATGTGACTCGTTGTGTGTTGACAGTGGCGACCGCAGTCGTAGTCGCTGCCGCGGTCGCAGTCACAGTCGCAGTCGCATTCAGTTCACGCTCCACTGTTGTTATTACGCTCGACGTTGTTGTGGTTATTGTACCTGGATACAAAGTAGAATAAAAAATATATTTTGTACTATTAAGTAACGTTTTTATACTGAATACACACGCACATTATTTTTAATTAATATTGTTTGTTAGTAGAATCTTAGAGTCGACCTCTAAGATTTTTCTCCACTGCTCTTTATAATGCTCTGATGTCAAATTTACAGTCAGTAAACTACGAAAATAAAAAAAGAATATTTCGTGTAGTAATAGTATCTGCGACACATATTCACTCTCGTCTATCTTCTAACTGACATAGACAAATAATAAAGTTAAATATAGGCATATAATAATATACGTAATGTTTAAAAGAAATTCATCAAATGTCATCGTCCTGAGTGGAGCGAGAGAATTGCAGACCCTTACCGACTTTACACCATTCGGTTCCTTCTTCTGTTCACTAGGATATACCTGTCCAGACCTGGCCCATTAATATGTACCTGAACTCTGAAGTTCAAACTGTATCGGTGTGTGATTTTATTGTAACTCGAAACAATCCCTTAATTGCTATACAAACAAAAGTATAAGCATTTAATTTCGTACAGAAGAATACAAAAGCTGTAAGTATATAAGACTTACAACAATTAATTACAAGTTTCGCTTCCCCTGAACAAAGAAAGGAGACGAGCGCTTGGGCTTATAGAGGTATTGAGTCGGTTTCAATTCGCCACAGAACCCATTTATATTCGCCTCGGGTTTTGAACTAGTTACATGGACAGACATGGGTACATACTGATTGTGGGTATACGGCTCTATATGTACCTATATATAATATATACAGATACAGAGCCTCGTAATATTTCATTTTTGTGTATCGGTTTGTGTATCAAAATTGAAGGTTGTGTGTTCACCCCGTCGGGGGGTTGCGACGAATGCTTCGGCGATACCCGCCCCTCCGACACATGGGTTATTGGAGGAACACCGGGTTGGTTTTTAGTCAGTAAGAGTCTGACAGTACCCTTCGCCCTTCCCCGAGGGCGATGGGTCTCCATGAGGATTTTCCAACCCGACACCAAAAAAAAAAAGGTTGTGTGTTCATTGTCTTAAAATTTTTGAGCAAGAAATTTTCGTGGTGGAATATACGAGTAGATATTATATCGACCAAATTGGCGATATTTTATAAAAGGTTTAATTAGGGCTTCTTAATCGATGAGAATGCATTAAGAGATTCAATTGTCTTTGTCTGGAGAGACGAGCCTGAAGATATGTATGCATGCACTATGGTGGAATAGTCAAGCCAGATATGAAAGAAAATAGTGACGCCTGACTTTCACGTAGATAGAATCAAATCTTATTGCGCTACTAGTTCTAGTAAAAAGTGCCTATAATCGTGTTTAAAAGCTTACGTTAAGAAAGGAAAGCAAACACGAGTAACTAGCTAATGCAAGAAATGGTAAATGTAATAAATATTATTTAAAAAGTAAAGTAGGTATAGGCAGTTTTAAAAGCTGAAATGTGTTGTTGACCTAATTCTACAGTCGACGCTCTGTACCTACAATTTACACAATGAATCATCCAACGAAATCCCTATTTGGAAACTAATCAGCAATTCAAGGAGCGGGATTAAACAAATTGAAGACCCTTCAGAGTAGCAATCGATTAAAAATTGGTACTCATCGAGATTAGGAACGACCCTTCCAGATTTAAAAGAAACCTTGTGGAGAAAGTAGCAAATAAATTTTATTAATTCATGATTTTATTATTTTATATTTTTTTTATGAAGTATTTAATCGTACATCTTGCAATTTGTTCAATATCAAAAAATATTTTATTTTATAACTGTCTAAATTGTACCAATATTTGACATAAATGTATTGTATTAGATTCTCAAACTTTTTTACTTGTTCCCTTTTGAAAAGAAGTAACAGCACTTACTTGTTTCTGTTGCTGGAGGCTGGTGGTGGTTCTCAGTGTGCCGTCGCAGCGATCTGGCGTCACAGTACGACTTGCCACATCCATCTGCTTTGCATTCGTAAGGCTTTTTGTTGCGGTGTGTTAGCATGTGTCCGTTGCTGCAACATTCATGCAAACATTAACTGAAGAACTTAGAACTGGACAATCGATAATCTTTATTCTGAAATATCAAGCATACATTGCAATAGTCAGTCCTTATATCGTTATTTTATATCAAAAATACCTTTTTCCCGTCATATATCTGAATAAGATAACAGAAATGTGTCCGGCCGGAAATTGGGAAGGCTAACTCGCGATCTGATCCCGTTATAGATATGAACCGATTTTGTCCCACGCACTAAATTTTGGTACCCCGTAAGTACGGCACATTTTCCTAGAGCCCTAAATGAGTTCAGGTTTCAATTTATTACTTTACAAAGTTTAGGTACAAGAGCTTTGTCTCCGGGAATATTTTTGGGAGATACTACGATTATACATACCTGTTTAAATGAGATTTCCGTTTTAAACACTAAAATATTACAATATAAAAAAAAAGATTTGTGACGGTATAGGTACAGAAAAAAATTAATTAATGTTATTATCAAACCGTATTTTAAGACTTACATATTAATACAATGCCCTAAAGCACGGTAGTAGTCAATCAGATATTTAAAAATAAGCGTAGGTACAACTACTTCAGTATATTTCAATCGAAAATTATAACTAATCATAGGTATGCAAATGGTTAAATTCCTCTTTATATTCTAAAATAGGTCACATAGAAGCGCTAAATATGTTATGTTGGGCCGATACGCGTGTTTCATTAATATTCATGGGGCTAAGCTGTGGCTATTAGAGCACCACCTTGCCTGACATGTGTCCCGTCGCCTAAATGACTGCTTTGATCTTTAAACTAGTTAGCTCGCTCCTTCCAACTAGTTACTACGAATATTCCCACGGCCATTCGACCAGATTGCAGCGTTATTGCAATTTTGTTTTTGTTGTTTAAAATTTATTGAACATTTCGTAAATTTTTTGTATACGTATTTAAAAAGGTGGTTAATTTTTTATTTTGTATAAATTGGTTGATTTTATATTCTCGTTTTGATCAATGACTGATGTTGTTATGATAAAAAAAAATATTGCTAATAATTTTGTGATTTATATAATCGGTTAAATCTTTTTCTCACGCAAAATTTGAACATGCTGTAGATAAACAGGTTAAATGGCAAGATACAGCTATGTAGCGGAATCTTGTTATTTTCAAATTATACGAACGTATCAAAATGCAACATTTTTGAGGATAAGCCTGAATTATTATAGTTGATACCAATGTTAAATGAATATCTACAAATGACTGTGTATGGACTTACAGATGATCCTGTCTTTTAAACGCCTTCGCACATGTGATGCACACATACTTGCGCTCGTCACTGTGTGTTAGTTTGTGTTTTGCTAGGGCTGATGCATTACCGAAGATCTTGTTGCAAACCTGGAACAAATAAAAAAGGTATTTAGATACTATTATTAAATTTATTATATTTAAAGTACAGAAAAATATTATATTTTAATTGAATTATTACTGATTGGACTGGAATTTAGGCGTTGTTTTATTTTGCTGTTATATTGGTGAGGTATCATCGGCTGACGGTTATTGAAAATTCCAATTATTTTTACCTATATTGCCTAATATCTAGTTGTGCCTACGTTGGTTAATGTTAAGTTAAAATTACTTTTATTTCTGGCCTCTGTTGTCGATGTATTAATGTTTTTAAGAAACTTTTAGGGTCAATACCTATTAGTCAACATTAATGCCGTAAATAATTCTCCACAGCGCACTGCACGACGACTGAATACTTTTACTAATAGGTCAGATTCATTTAAATACCAAACAGAAACAAAACCGTCTATCCTTATTCATGATAACAGAACTAAGATCAAAACAGGCAAGTGGCCCCGGGCGGCGGCAGTAAGCTGTAGTTAATATAATAATTATATTAAAATGGCGGTCCTACCTCTGACAATGGTGAGAGCTCCCCGGGCGAATGTTGACCCTAATCTTGCGTTTGTTTCTCATCTAATTAGGAGGTCTTTTCGTCTCCTTATCTTGTTTTTATTTTGATATTACTCTTGGGTCTACTATTGATAGAGTATAAGTAATATTGAGATAAATAATACTAGTGGCTTATGATAATCAGTGTTATTAAACATTATAATCATATCATTTGTAAAGGCTCAGCTACGGAAAACTTACTAAAACTACCTACAAATGACCAAACTTCCCATAAGCGATTCGAGCGCCATCTATGAATTACCTAAAACAGTTTTATTCGCAACACATCTAATATTTATATCATGAATTATTTAAAAGGGCAGGTTAAACACTAACACGTGGTACAACCGACCCGCCATTGTTCGTATTATGTTCCACATTTGAATATTTTTCGTCAACCCTAATGTTTTCGTTAACCTATCTATACAACGATTGATATTATTAATATTTACCTACTCCAAATTCGAAGAAAAAAATATCAAATATATATAAATATCAAAAATACGGAAGATAGAAAATAATGATTTCTAGAAATACTTTCTACCTTAGTAGGTACGTAGTTGCCTCTTAATCTTACACAAAGACTTTAAAAATCAAACTTTAAAAACTAAAACTTAAACAAAACTAAGAGATTTCTTACAAATCAAATATTGTTGTTGAGAAGAAATAGTGTTTACAAGAACAGATATGCTAAAAAAAGCTAAGGTTTTACCTTGTCTTGCATCGCCCTGTAGACGTAGTTACTTAAAAGGGTCTAATATTGAATGCAATAATTAAGCACTCATATATTTATTAAAATTTAAAAATATTATTATTTAAGCTTGGAAGTTTATATAGGCAGAAATATTATGCACTGGCTTTTGTTTCCCGCGTAAAAAGATAGATTAAAAAGTATGCAGAAATTTTTTTTTGGAGTATATGGCCTGGATACAAGTCCTTTAAAGCCAAGTCTTTTAATTTTCTCGGTTTTATGTTATTATATACTTTCCAGAGTATTTTTAATGAAATTTTATAACTGCTCTAATCACTTTGGATGACGTAGTAGATCTTCTAGGCGGCGGGAGGAAACATTATCAACAATTTCACTTAGTTCACTGGCTAAAATTAACCTTTGAATGTTGTAGTCACTGCATTCCAACACTAAGTGACTAATATCACATAAGAAAAGTATGTAGAACCATAGCCAACAATGTTACCATAATAAAGTCGTAATAATTATTTTTAAATACACATAACTTATTGAACTTATACAATTGCATTCATTCATCACAAATAACAAGAAAAAACACCTTCCTTTAATAAATTAGTTTATGTAAAAAGTAATTCAAATCTCCACAATAACAAATTATGCTGTTTCGCGTTCAATAAAAATCAATCAAAATATTTAAAAGCCACTTACATCGATTGAACAAAATATTTCTGTTGTTTTCGCTTCGGTGAATATTTGAGTAGCTGACGTATACCTAGCGTTCGCAAATTAACAAACGCTTTATTAAAATGTGGATTTAATTTAATCGGTAAAATGCGAATCCAATTTTAATCAGTAAATAACGTCCATTCGAAATTCGAATGAAAGCCGTATAGCGCTTATTCGAAATTTGATTCGGTGTAGCTAACATAGTCATTTGTGTGGCGTCATTATGTTAAAACCTTTTTGCTTCATGTGAATATTATGGTAAAAACATTTTAATAAGTAGTTGTAATTAACCAGAAATCTAATTATTTATTCTAAAAAAAATAACGACAGCTGTATCTATTGTCTATGTCTATTTGAATTTAAAGAAGTTTCAATTCTCAGGAAAAGTATTCTATTTAATTTTTTATTTTTAACCCAATTAAATTGGTACTTAAAAGTAGAATTTTAAGCGTACATTATAATTTAGAACAAGTATTCGTACATCGTACGGCCTGTTAACATTAAATTAGATTGGCTGGTAGTGTGATGTTATCGTAAGGGCCTGACCCTAACAAAGGTCCTGTAGGAGGGACAGCCATTGTTCTCAACCCTTGAGATATGCGTAGTTATACTTAACATGTCCATTCATTTATATTTCTCTGCATGTGTGTTTAATTCTATTTTAGGTTATAATATGTATGATACAAAGTAGAAAGTTTTACAAAAAGAAATTGTATTATGTTCTATCAAAGAACGATAAGTATATTATGTCGATGTTAATAATAAGCCTGACTTGAATAGGGTGAAATAGTTAATTTTTTTTACCACCGAACCGACAGAGCATTGTTAAAATAATACCTTTAATAACGTCTACTGCGCGAAAATTGTTAAAACCACAAATTCGCGACGCATCACACAAATTGGCGTTCCCAGTTTTTGTTAATCCCCTTGCTGTAATCCTTTAATCGCCTTTCACAAAAGCCACGGGTAGAATGTGTGCTACGTGTGGTCGAGTCCACAATTACGTATTCTATCATGAATGCTACATAAAAGAAATAAAAAGAAACTTTGTACTGGAGCTAAGATCTCCGTCGGTTGCACTTTAATGATTGCTGAACGCAGTCTAGCGGTTAGCGGGAGTCTCAGCTGTAACTCGGAAATGCAACTTTCAACATAACCTTAATGATGCGATGTTCTTTTGTCTTTGTTCTTTGACTTGTTTTTATTAGGAAAAATGGCAATTGCATACTAATTATGTTAAGATCCGATGAATGCACCGGGAATGAACTGTTCCTGAGCTATCTGGCGTCAGTGGCAGCACACTTCGTAACATAGATAAAAATAACATATTTATGATTTAAGCTGATGAATTAATTTTTTTTTATTAAAAAAGTTTTCCATTAGGATCGGTAACATTGGTTATTCTTCTTTAAAAGAATAGAAGTAATAAGTAGTTTTTATTCAAAGAGAATCGTTGCAAAGAAAAAAATGTTTAATTTGGAAATTATAAAATTATTCCGAAAGCTTTTTACACAGCATTCGCACGTACCTATTGTGTTACTTTAGTTCAACAAAACCAACATTTATAGAGCTAAAATAATTTTGGCCTCAATAAAATAAATTTGAATTATCAATAAAGTTATTATGTGCACGACATTAACATACAGTATACAATAAATTTTAAACAGTTTAATGTTTTATATAATTTGCACAATTTCCGACTAAAATATGAATACTAAAACTGCTATTACATGTTATTTCTCATGCACTAGTTATTGAAAATCAATTTGCCGTTAAAAACGATGAAAAAGCAATTGAAAATAATAAAATATAGAAGAAAAGATGGGAAGAAAGCAATATCAAAACGGATAAATAATTCTCGGAGAAATTAAAAGGAAATCATAATTTACTCGCAGTCAAATGCTCTCTGAGCGGTGTATTGTTGGTTCTTTATTTGTTTTCTACCGTTATTTCTGTCTGTTGTACTAAACATTCAACGGGAAAAATTGGACAAAGCACAATTTATACTCTTTAGTTACTCTGTTTGTCTTCAGTTGAATACTATTTCTGCTGGTTTTGTCAGTAGATTATTTGTACCATTTCAGTATTTTGGGCCCTATAGATTCTTATTATTTTCTCTTTTTTTATATTATTAATGAAATCATTTCATACACTCAATAACTGTAGAATTATTTCAATACTATATTTAAAAAAATAACAGATAGTTGTTTGAATTTCTTCATTACATTAAAGTATGGTTGTTAACTAACTAACACGATCGCCGTGAATAGGTAATTAGGTAGAGTCCACAGACAAAAAAAGAAAAATATATTAACTTTTAAAAACAGACTATTTATGTAGGTAACTAGTTGAAAATAACACCTTCATTCATATATTTGGAGAATTTAATATTAGCTTTTTTTGAAATTTAAAAGAAATAAGTATGCTAGTTAAATTAAAATAATTATAGCGTTACGACGTGCTATTCAAACATATTTACAACTAGCAGACCCAGCCACGCGTTGCTGTGGCTATGGCAAATAATATTGTGACTTTAAATTGAGATGTAAGCTATCCTATCTTTCAAGTAAGATCAAAATGCACACGCAATGCAAATCAAATTTAAAATAGGTTTAATAGTTTAGGAGTCCATCGCGGACAAACACGTGACACGAAATTTTTAAATTTTAAGATATTGCCGGTTTTGTTATTTTGGGTGAAGTATTAAATTTGACTAGTTACCAAACTATCATATTCAAAATTATTTTAGGTCGCAATAAGCGTACTTGGTCTTCACCTCGACATAATTATTACCACAAGAGACAAGTTATAGATCAACCGAGGCTCGTCAACAAGTATGTCAATAGTATTGGATTACAAGTCTGATGTAATTGACAAAGTTACTATATATTCGACTATTTCCAACCGTTCTCAATTTCATTAATATTACTAGTTCAATTTAGTTTTCATTTTGATGTTAGGCGCTTTTTGATGTGGAAATGGAAAACGACGGCATTAATATTTGAAAATAGAAAGCTTAAAT